CGCTTAGTAATTCTATTCGCATTTGTGATTGATTTAAAACTGTGGGATATCACAATATTTTCGTCCTAACAACTGGTATCAAGCTTCGGTTTTTTGTTTATTTATTTGTGTAAATCAATAGAGGGAATGTGGGGTCGTATGTCTGCTTCAATTGGAGCAATTGGGTAACTTGGAAACTAAAATGGAGGACTATTTTTTTGGTAAAGACTTTGTTATGGACCCATTGAGGTGATAGGTGGCAAAACCGAGGGTATGAAAGAGATGAATGGATAGGCCCTAATCGAAAAGCCTCGTTTGGTATTATCGTTCAATGGAATTGATCGATAGTGTGTTTCATATGTTGCATTTGAACTTCAGCAACATGATTTATGGAAAAAATTAGAGGGCCTTCTATGATAGGAATTAGCACAAATAAGCTTTTCTGTTTCGTAAGTTGGTTAATTTAAAATATAAGAGGCAACCCTTTCCGGAAATCTGAATGAAATAAGAGTTTGTTTAACGCACTTGCTTGTATGAAAATTATTTTTGATGATGAGTTGCAGCTTTGATGCTAACTTTGTTTTTTGCCTAGAAAGTTTGGGACTTTGGTTGTCCGGTTAGTAATTCGCGCGATGGAAGTTGTCAAATGGGCCAAGTCAATATAGATATAGATAGAACTAGAAGAATAATCAGTGGGTTCTCTCATTCACAGAGCATTTGCTTGTGAGAGGCGAAGCAAAAACAAGGGGGAGGAGTAAGACTCCTATTTGGTCGTGAATCAAAGCTGTGACAGCAAGAGATGGTTCTTCTTCAAAGAAGACATTGAATGTTATTATTGCCATGAGAAGGGAACAATGAGCGAAATGCCGAAAGAATCAAGAATAAGGAGAAAGGCGTAGGACAAAAGTGTGGAGAGAAAGCAAGAAGATCAAGGCAGTTACTACACCACTAGATGATCTCATGTCGTTTGTGAAGAGTTGTATCAATTTTGTGGGCCAAGCAGAGCAAATTAGGTGATTGATTCTGATGCTTCTTTCATGTGACTAATCTACGAAGTTGATTATATATACTAAACTACACAAAGGAGATTATGGTTTTATTCGATAATGGGTATGAGGTTTGATCAAGTTATTGGCATGGGTGATATTTGCTGGAAACAAATTTGGGGCTGCAGATATTGTTGTTAAAGATGTGAGGCATGTTCCGACATTCGCCTAATTTGAATACTCTACATAGAGAAAGATAAAGATATAGAAGGCTTCAAACAAAAATTATGGATGATGGAATATGGAAGCTCACAAAAGGGTTTTTGGTGGTGGCTAAGTGGCAAGAAGACTCATAACTTATTCGATGTAAAGGAAAAATTTGTAAAGTGTTGTCAATGGACTTGAAGATGATACTTCTACCGAATTGTGACACAAGCAATTTGGGCACAATGAGTGAAAAAGGGCTGCAAGTTTTGTTCAAGAAAGAGCTTCTACTTGGTTTGAAAGGTACACATCTTAAAACTTGTGTTCATTGTTTGGCGGGTAAACAACATAGAGTTTCTTTTCATAAAAATATTGCTTCTAGAAAATAAAATGTGTTGGAGTTAATTCATTTAGATGTTTGTGGTCCTTTGAAAGTTAGAACACATAGTGGTGCACTTTATTTTGTTACTTTCATTGATGATTATTCAAGGAAAATTTGGGCTTTTCTACTAAAAACTAAAGATCAAGTTCTAGAAGTATTTAAGCATTTTTAGGCCATGGTTGAAAGAGAAACATGGCAGAAATTGAAGTGCACCCGATCAGATAATGGTGGTGAATACATTGGGTCATTTGATGAGTATTGTCGTAGACAAGGTATTCGGCACCAAAAGACAGTTAAGAAGACTCCTCAACAAAATGGCGTTGCCGAGAGGATGAACCGCACCATTGTGGAAAGAACAAGGTGTTTGCTTTCACAAGCTAAATTGCCAAGATCCTTTTGGGGTGAGGCATTGAAGATAGCGGTTGACGTGATCGATTTGTCTCCTTCCTATCCTTTGAATGGTGATGTTCCAGAAAGAGTTTGGACCGGTAAAGATGTGTCTTATGAGCACTTGAGAGTGTTTGGTTGCCGAGCTTTTGTTCACATTCCAAAGGATGAGAGGTCCAAGCTTGATAGTAAGTCAAGACAATGTATTTTTCTTGGCTATGGGCGTGATAAATTTGGGTATAGATTGTGGGATCCGGTCAACAAGAAAATCATTCGAAGCCGTGATGTTGTGTTTCTTGAAGACGAAACAATTGAAGACTTTGGCAAAGGTGATCAACCGGAGCCAAAAACTAGTGATCTCATTGACATGGATCCATCTCCTTCATCTTCGGTGGATGATGAAAATGGGGGAGATGTGCAGCCACCTATTGAAGATGTAGAGGATGATGCTAATCCTAATGAAGTTGAGCCAGAAATTGAGGAAGAGCATCCAACTCAAGAACCGCCACCACAACTTAAGTTGAGGAAATCTACAAGGGACCGACAACCTTCAAGAAAGTATCCTCCCAATGAGTTTGTGTTGATTTCTGATCAAGGGGAGCCTGAGAGCTATCAAGAAGCAATTGAACATGCAAAGAAAGGTGATTGGAAAAAGGCCATGGAAGAGGAGATGAATTCTTTACTTGAAAATCACACCTATGATTCAGTAAAGTTGCCTAAGGGGAGGAAAATTCTGAAAAATAAGTGGGTCTTCAAATTGAAGAATGATGGCAAGAATCTAAGGTACAAGGCACGTCTTGTTGTGAAAGGCTTTGGGCAAAAGAAAGGTATTGGCTTTGATGAGATTTTCTCACCGGTTGTGAAGATGTCTTCTATTCGGGTTGTACTTGGCATGGCTGCAAGTATGAACCTTGAAGTTGAACAACTTGATGTGAAGACTGCATTTCTTCGTGGTGGTCTTGAAGAAAAAATTTACATGGAGCAACCGGAAGGTTTTGTGGAGAAAGGAAAAGAGAAATTTGTTTGCAAATTGAAGAAAAGTTTGTATGGCCTCAAGCAAGCCCCGCGGCAATGGTACAAAAAATTTGACTCTTTCATGATGAATAATGGTTTTTCTAAAACCACTTCGGACCATTGTGTGTTTGTGAAAAATTTTCCGGATGTTAAATTTATTATTCTTTTGCTTTATGTTGATGACATGTTAATTGTGGGTCAAGATTCTACCATGATAAACAGGTTGAAATTGGAGTTGAGTAAGTCTTTTGCTATGAAAGATTTGGGACCGGCAAAGCAAATTCTTGGTATGAAAATTGTTCGTGATCATAAAGAGGGGCTGATTTGGTTGTCTCAAGAAAGCTACATTGAGAAAGTTCTTGAGAGGTTCAATATGGATAAAGCAAAGTCGGTTGGTTGTCCACTTGTGGTCACTTCAAGCTTAGTTCGAATCAATGTCCTGTAAGTGAGAAAGACAAAGAAGAGATGTTGAAAGTTCCTTATGCTTCAGCAGTTGGTTCTTTGATGTACGCCATGGTTTGTACAAGGCCGGATATTGCTCACGCCATTGGTGTGGTGAGTCGTTTTCTCTCTAATCCGGGTAAAGAACATTGGGCAGCGGTAAAATGGATTCTAAGGTATCTTCGAGGGACTTCGAAGGTGTGTTTGTGTTTTCGGAATGGTAAGCCGATGCTTGATGGGTTCACAGATTCTGACATAGCCGGTGATATTGATTCTAGAAAATCTACTTCGGAGTATTTGATGACTTTTGTAGGGGGAGCTGTGGCATGGCAATCTAAATTACAAAAATGTGTTGCTCTCTCAATTACCGAAGCTGAATTTATTGCCATTACGGAAGCTTGCAAAGAAGAGTTATGGTTGGCATTTTTTTTGCAAGAGTTGGGTTTGAAGCAAGAAAAGTATGTGCTTTATTGTGATAGTCAAAGTGCTATTCATTTGAGTAAAAATTCTACTTTTCATTCGAGATCGAAACACATTGATGTGAGATACCACTGGATTCGTGATGTGTTAGATTCGAAATTGTTGCAACTCGAAAAGGTTCACACAGATGATAATATTTCGGATATGTTGACAAAGACTTTGTCGAGGGACAAACATTTAAAGTGTCGAACTTTGGCAGGTATGGTTGATGTCTCCACCTAAGTCGGTAGGGGGAGAATTGTTGGCTATACCTCCTTATTGGAGTGTGGGACCCAATGATTTATTAAAAGAGTTTAGTTTGGTTTATGTATAATATATTTTGATATATTATATTTAATTTGTGGAGACCCAATTTAGTTTGGAAACAACTAAGGTTTTGATAAAAAAAACCCTAGATTCACAATACATATTTTTTGGTATTATTTTTCCCGAGAAAAAAGTGATATACGGCTGCCTCATTATTTAGTTTTCCGAAGGCAGCAACTGGTGATCATTAATTTGGTTTTTCCCGAAGTTGAGTGAAGCTGCAACAACATTGATATACTTGGGTGCATTGATTCTTGGGTGTATATTCAAGTTGGTGAATATTTTGTTATTTTGGTGAAGCTGATTTGGTTTGTTATTTTGGGTCTTCTACAACTTTGGTTCTGAAGATTTTGGTTCATTTATTTGGTGAGGTCTTTCCTCTTATTTATTTGTGATTATTTGGAATTCACCTAAGGGTGATTTTGTGAGACCATTAGTGTCTCGTTTGTAATCGTTTGAAAACTTATTTGGTTGATAGTGGAATCGGATTTCGATCCCGTGAACGTACCTCACATTGAGGGAACCACGTAAAAATTCTTGTGTTGCCTTTGATTTAATTTTTCCGCATTAGTATTTATTCCCATTGATTGATTTACTTGTGGGGATCACATATTTTTCCTAACAGCAATACCACATAAAGACACTCTAATACAAACCTAGCAATACCACATAATAGCAAACAAATTATTCAAATTGGGACAATAGTTTTTTTTTTTTTTTTTTGGTTTTCTTTTTTGTTTTTTATGTTTTTATTTTCAAAGTTCAGACAAAAGTTAAAATGAAATCATAACGGCTAAACAGTTTTTCATAAATAAGAACACCTTGTAAAGTTGTAGCCGGTTTCTGCATAAATAGGGTTGCTATCTACTTCTCCAGCTTCTTGATCTTCATAGAAATTGAGTGGATCCTTCCACGTCCTATTTATCAAGAACAACATACCTAGCACAACATTTGCGATCAAATTTTGAAAACGAATACATGCTACTTAAAAGTAACCACATTCTATGTGCTTCATACAAACACAACAATAGATAAAATGTAATCGTAACAACTAAACAAATTGTTTATATATAAGAACACCTTGTAGCCTTAGTTTATTCATACATAGGACCAAAATCTCTTTCTCCAACTTCTTTATTAAGAAAAGCATACCAAGGAAATCAACAGCAATCAGATTTTGAAAATGAAACACATTAAAGACTAGTTGAAAGCTATTACATTCAATGTGCTTGTGTAGAGTCCAGATCCTCTACTTGCTGTCTTTACTTGCCTCCCTATTTGCAATGGTGGAGATACACCCTAAGATGATCTAACAGCAAGTAGAGGATCCTAATGCAACATGTTTTAGGCTTGGCAATATTTATTATCAAGTTAATAATGGAGGTCAAACATATATGCAATATAGATGCTCGATAATATATATTACATCTTTTGTTCAGGCATTGCCAAATAAAAAAATTAAATTTGGTTTCACGTAAGAGCTAAATATCTATCTATTTACACTGACTTCTCCTAAGATTTGAAGGATAAATACAACTCCCATAGTTTTTGCATAATTTCATTAACTTCTCTTTTAGTAAGGTTGAAACGACCGGAATGAATGTAAATGGTTTGAAAACACAAAGATTGATAATGTAAAATAGATATTTCAATATAAAAGAGATAACATTAATTTTCAATCCATATGATTAATAAATTATCAATGAAAAAGGGGCTAAGTGTTTTGTGAATTAAAACATTAAGAGAGTCTAATATAATTATGCTAAATTTGTAAAATTTATTGTACTTTCTTTAAATCTCAAAGGAGGTTAGTGTAATTTTTCCTAATAAATTTTTGTTTTGAAATTTTGAAAAAGTAATTGGGTAAAATATTTATACTAGGAATGGGTCTGTCGATAATTTTTCCATTTGGATTGCACAGAGCTCTCATTGGGCTTCTTAATAGTTCTCCAATTATTTTTAGGAGTAATGCCACAATGATTATGTCTTTATACCTCATTTGGTTTATCATGGGATGTGTCATCATTATATTGGTAATAAACATAAGTGACGGGATTCATTCAACCAATGTATTTATGACAAATGAGATACTAAACCCTATATGGCATAAAGACATGGTCATTGTCGTATTACTCCCAAATATAATTAGACTGATTTGATAATTACAACATCATTTTATCATCTTTATCTTCAAAAAAATAAATTTCATTTCTCTTGAAAGCAAAGATGATAAAATCATATTGTTAGGATTATCAAATAAACTTAAATTTTTATAAATGACTTATGCACCGTGTTTATAAAATGAAAGGTTCAAATCCTCAAGTGGAATCTGTACAATCCAAAAGGCCAACTGTTGAGAAGACCATTCATTGTGCATTGTTTCTATTTGAGGTAGCTTGGAAAGAAAATTGCTTTAGCAAAGAATTATTCATACAAAAGTTTCTATTGAGAACAATACCTATATCACTTTCAAAATTAGATTTATAGCAATAGATTGCTATTTCTTCAGAAATGTAGGGTGTGTTTGGTTTGGTTTTGGGAGACAAATTTTCAAACAAAAAAAAAAATCTGGAGAGAGTTTAGAAAATTTTTTGGTTTGTTTGGTTGCATATTTTGGAAATAGTTTTGGAGTATGGGAGTTTGGGATGATTTGATATTTTGTTGTAATTAAATAGATGTGTATGAGAGAAAAAATGATTGAGAATGAGAGAGGAGAGAGAAAAAATAATTGATTGAAGAATAGGAGAGAGAAAGTGAGTTTTTACCCATTTCTCTCGAAAGCAAACCAAACAACTGAACCTAAGATGAAATTTCGATATGAAAAAAACTTAACTGGCATTTGTTCTAACTGAACTAAACTCATCCCAGTGAGTTTTTACCCATTTCTTTGGGACTCAATTGGCATTGCTTTTAAAGACAAACTTTTTTTTATTGAATTAGTGATAAAGAGTTTACTCTCAATGATTTTGTGTATATATATAGATATGAAACACCATCCAATAAGACTTCATCTTGACACAATTTCGGATTAATATGTTTGTACTGTCCATAAATGTAATTACTTTTATAAATTTATGCACCGTTTGTTTCGGTAAAATATCTTATGTGAAAAAGATTTTTTGTTTTGTTTTAAAAGTCATGGTTAGAAAATAATACATTGAAAATATTTTCCAATATTTAGTTAGAACTCTGAAATAACGGTTACTAATAGTCATGGTGTGTTGTGGTGGTGGTGGTGGTGGTAGGATGTTGGGGAAGAAAAAAGAAATAACTTGTACAAACATATTGGTTAGCGAATTATTTGCGATAATAAATCATCATAATTTGAACAAGATAAACTTACATTAAAATAGAGAATAATAATAAACTCTCGTATTTGATATCAGATCAGTTTATTTTGAACTTATCTGGCCAATGAAATGAATTCTGTGTATAGTAACATGAAAATTGTACTAAAAATTGATGAATTCTGCCTAAACTTTGGCCAACATAATAGTCTACTAATTTATCCTTATTCAAGATCCCTCAAACAATTTTAGGAGAATTGGACAGATTGCAAAGGAAATTTCTCTCTTTAATACAATTTTTTTCTTTACCGACAAAAAAAAAAAAGAAAAAAAAAGAGTATTTCTCTAATTCACACAAACGAATTCTGTAAACCACCATAGAACAAAAAATATAGCGATCCCGGGTTTACCCTTGTTGTATAGTGATCCGGACATGGAATGTGGTTAGTTTAATGTTATTATTTTGAGGGCGTTACAAAAAATATAACTCTTTACTTCACACAATGAAATGGTTTAGCAGAGTGTTAAGATTCCTAAAAGAAAATAAGGTGAATTGCACTGATAGTCTCTATATTCGGCCCATTGTGTCATTTTCGTTACACTTTTAATTGGCTCAATTTTAATCTTTAATTTTTTATTTTGAGTCAGTTTGATTCAATTGATAACATATGTCATTAGGATTTTTGTTAACAGAGAATTATCACTGAGTTGGTTAAGATTAACTTAGTTTACAATTTCACCCTAAAAGCAAGGCACATGCCTTTCATGTGCACATTTTTCATTTTAAAAAAAAAAAAAAAAAGGCTAGCAATTATAATCAATTTGACCAAATTAGGACAAAATCATAAATTCCGGATAAAAATCAAATCAGTTGAAATTATAATGATTAAAATGACACAAGAATCAAAATATAAAGACTATTATTAGTATAATTTGCCCAAAAAAATATTATTTGAAAACCCTCAAACCAAATATAAATATATACACTAAAAATTTAAGATATGAGCATAAACAGATAAACCCACAGTATATTTGTCAACAGAATGAAGAGGCATTTGGTGTAATATTTTTTTTAACTTTTACTTTATTATTATTAATTAAATTCGTTTATTTTTTATTTAGTGTGTATAGCAATAATGCATACCTTTTCTAGGAAGAGATTGGCGATGCACCGCAACAAATGGTAAATATTACTCCCCTTCCACATCATAACCTGCATGCGGCAAGTATCAAATGATTACTAATAATCAACACCACCTCTCCTATCGAATATCACTTATTAGAGGTGGTTTAACTATTAAGTTATTTAAACGGTCACTTTTGACCCACAATAAAAAAAAGAAAAAAAATATTTAAGGACTCAACTTTTCAAAAATAGATTGAGATAGTGTCAATCACCACATTATATTTTTGCTTATATAATCGCATAGATAGATAGATTTGTAATTTTTAATTAATCTCCTGCCAATTGGCAAAATATTGGCAAAAACAAAAAATACAAAAATACAAAAAATACAAAAAAAAACAAAGATAACCAAGTACATACCTTTGTGTTGTGTTTATATTATAAATTTGGATAGAGAGAAAATGGAAAAGGTAAATGGAAATAGAGAAAAAATTTAATATATATTTTTATTCACATTTTACTCACTTTTTTCTTTTCTCTTTCTAAATTCCTACCTAAAACTATGGTTTGTGTTTTAGATCTTGAATTCAGGTAAAGATTTGAAAAGAAAAATGAAAAATAGAAAATATGAGAATAATGTGAATGAAATTTGAGTTTTTTTTTTTTTTTTTTTTTACTTTTCGTTTCCAAATCCCTCTCCAAATATCCAAACAGAGCATAAGTTAATGAATTAATCTATTGAAATTAGTGTATAATGCTCAAAATCTCGAGGATATACTATTATTTTCCGAAATTATACCAATTGTTGGAGACAATAATAATATCTTACGATTAAGAACATGCACACAGTTTATTAAGGATTGGTATTTTGGAGACACAATGTTATATGTAATTTCATTTTTTATCTCTTTTTATCATTTCTAGACACAAAAAAAATGGGATTCATATTCATAAATGTGTATACAACCCATTTATTTGTGTATGAAAAAATGAGATAATTAGAAATATAATTATATGTAGCATTTTCTTATTATTGCTAGGGCAAATGACACTGGTAATCTTTATATTTTGCCTTTTATATCATTTTGATCTCTATGTATTCAGTTGACTCAACTGTCCCTTAATTTTAAACTTCCTGTCAGTTTAATCCAATTGATAACGGCGTTTGTATTTTTTATGAAAAATGATCACTAAATTACTTGAGGTTAACTTGTTGAGTTGAGTACATTTATAATTTTGATTTTAAAAGCATGGCATGTCACTTATATGTGTATTTTTTATTAAAATACTAACAATTGTAAGCAATTGGACTAAATTGAGAAAAAATTATAAATTTAGAATTAAAATCGAGCTAATTAAAATTACAGAGATAAAAATGACACAAAGATCAAAATATTGAGACTACTAACATAATTTTCCCTTAGGAAAAACAAAATGAGAGTGGTTTCTCAAGGTGCTATAGCTTCAATCATCACATGTTTTATGGTAAATGAAGCCAACAAGTCTGATTGGATGTAACTGAACCATGGATGACAACAACTATAAATTGCGGATTTAAATTCTTTCTAACACTTTTTTCCATTCAACAATTAATCATTATCACTAGTTGTGACTTTTGGATCAACTATTTTATGATGAATAGATGAAGAAAATGTTGGAAAGAATTTTCTTTCTTAAACCACTCGCATTTTGGGAAATGTCGACGTGGCAGGTATATAGGGTAGTGAAGTTACTTTCTTGAGAGAAGCATATTTCCGTAGAAGTATAATTAGTTACCTCGATATTTGGGGCAGAAATCTACATGCAATTTGGAGATACGCATTTGGGATTCTGGAATTCCAATACACACGACACTCGGAAGATTTTCAAGTACCACGCTTAAGTTGTCGTCATCGTCGTCATCGTCATCTTCTTCTTCTTCTCTGGTAACAATCTTTTCTACTTTCTTGCAATTTCCAATTCTTAGATAATTTAGACACACAAGGACCTTGACCATGGAAATTGTGAATATATATCTCAGGTTGTCACACCTCTCCACTTCTAGGGATCCTAGATTTTCGAAACAATGAGTTTGTTGGGAAACATTCTTCCATATATGCGTCAACTTGGGCAAGTACATCAATTTCAACTCTCTGAAGCAAAGGAACTCTCTGAAGCAAAGGATTGATGTTCCTTCCTCACCAGTAGTATCAGCGCGTGCCGACCCTTGGAGGTCAAATATTGTTTCCAGTGAATCACACCACCATACCTTCAGCCGTTGTAGATATGGTAGTCTTTGCATTAAATTCGACGAGATCACATTTGATAATTTCCCGCAAAATTGGACCAACATGAATCTCACTTGGTCAAGGCGGTCAACTTCAAGTTGGTTGTGCCACATCTCTATTGATCCGTTTATGTCTGTGACGGTAAGTTTTCCAAAGTGGCCGGAAAAATGATCTCTGAAAATAAACTGCAAGTCCATTAAACTTAACTGTGTTAGTGTTAGTGACATTGTTACTTTACCCCAAACCTTCATTTTATTTATCAATTTTGGGGATAGTTTGGAAATAAAATGAAATTTTAAATAAAGTTTTGGTATCATATCAACAACTTTCATTTGATCATAGACGGCAATTAATGGTGGCGATAACATTGATTCAAAATCAATTGATATTATTAAAAGAATAGAGATTAAATTAATTTTTGATTGATAGTTTGGGGACAAAATGATATTTTCTGGCCCATAAAATACTTGCATAATGTAAAATACCCAACGACAATTAAAATCTTTCTTGGTAAGTAAACATTTAAAAGATTAAATCATTAGTATCTTTTACGTTGTATTTGGATTATGAATTTAAATAGAAAGTTGAAAAGAAAAAGAGAGAAAAAATTAGTTTATACTTTATTCACATTGTTCTCACCTTTTTCCTTTTCTATTTTAAAATTCATACCTAAATCCATGATTCAAAATACAACCTTAGTATTTGAACAATAGCCAAGGAAAATAAAGGGTTTAAACTTAGGACACAACTTGTTTTGTGCATGGAATTTAATTAAAAAAAATAGGAGCATCCAAATGGTCTTATATTGTGTTTAGTTCATAAATTTGAAGAAAAATTTGGAAAGGAAAAAAGAAAATATAAACAAAATGTGAGTGAAATATAATTATATTTTACCTAAATTTCACGCACATTTTTTTTTTCTATTTTCAAATTTATGTCCAAATTCATGAACCAAACACAATCTTAAAAAAGAATAGTCACACTCAATATGGTACAAGAGCTTGTATGGGTATTGATTGACTAATTGAGCATCTCAAACCGTTCAAATCAAGTGGGAGTTATGATCAAATCATGGTGGGGAATTAATACAATTCATCATCTCATATATTATCAATATATTAGTTTAATAAAGAACACTCTGGTTAATCATTTAAATTTAAAATTAAAATTTTGGGGGCAATTGTCTGAAATTATATATATATATTTTTTATCCATAATGATAACAACAATTTCAAATATCATATAACATTTACCTATATATCTATTTATTCACAAATCTGTCATTTTGTCCACATGTCCATCTATTTGTCCATTTATTGTTCATCAATAAACTAGAATGGAGAACTCCAAGAATTGATGTTTACAAATTTGTTTACCTAATAAATCTTTGTTAAAAAATATGAAAGAGTGGTTGGGCTAGGTAGGGTAGCGGCGTACGTTTATCACAAGTCCCACTTTCGTAAAATCGATCATAAAATATAAAAGTCTTTGTGTATAGATCACAAAATATAATAATAATAATAAACTAATCATATTAATTCGATACTTAAAACAATATGATTTTATCATCTTTGTCTTCAAAAAAATGGATGATCTTTCATTTTTTTTTTTTTAACATAAATATGATAAAATTACAATATTATGATTATCTTATCAATATGATTTTTTAATTGATAATTTATGCACAAATCTCACAAAACAAACGATTCAGATTATCGAAATATCTGAACGGTTTATTTTATAGAGCCCTTTGCATAAATCTTCCAAACAAAAAATTATCTCGATCTGATAATTGTAACATGTTCAATTTGTCATGTTTGTCATCTAAAAAAAAAATTGTTGGTCTATTTTCAAAAACACAGATTTGCCATCCATTTTTCTTTGCAGGAATTGATAATTAATTAACTGTGAATGCTATATTTTAAAGTTAATTAACGTACCTTTCCATCCAAGAGATGGAGTTGAGACAAAGTTGAAAAGTCTGCCTTTTGTTGCTCTAGCTTGTGCTGGAATGCTGATGGGAGTATCTCCATTTTGGGACAGTTGATTACTTCTATTGTTTTCAACAACGATCCCTCAAACGTACAAGCCTCAGAGCAAAAACTACTAAGGTTTGGCAAATCACTGAGTTTGAGACTACTCAGTTGAGGGAACATGATCATATTTGTTATCACTGCATCATCTGCATTTGGTTCATTTCTAATGATTGATTCCATCATACCACATTCAGTTACCTCTATTTCTTGTAGTTTTACTAGAAGTTTGGCTAGAGAGTATGAGAATAGATTTCTCAAACTATCGCACTCATTTACTATTAAGGATCTTAGATTCTGAAAGCCTTGAATTCCTGGTGAATTGTCCTTCCAAACATGTGTCAACTTTGACAAACAACTTAGTTTCACCTTTGTTAATGAAGGGAGTGCCATATCTAATATGCCTTCCCAAACAAGTCCTTCAAGGTCAAAGGCTACTCCGATAGATCGACAGTCCTCCACTTCAAGTACTTCAAGATTTTGCATGCCCTTAATTGAATTGGATGGGAAAAGAATACTTGAGAGCCCATTACTCAATTTGACCTCCATCATTCTTAGTTTAGCTTCAAGTTCCCCAGGCCAAATTTCTATCAGATTCTCCATGTCAAAGATGGTCAATTCTTCAATGGTAGCCAATTTATCCTGTGAGTTCATTCACATGGTGTTACAAACATAACTAAGCACAAAAACTTGATTCCATTTAGTTTTCAAATTAATATATTTCATATTTGAATAATTAAATGTAAACAATTCTTACAAATCTATTGCAATACATATTTAGATCATTGTCCTAAAAAACCTAACCCATTTTATTAGATTCTTGAATTTTCCAAATATAAAAATACACACTAAATTTATTTTTGGTATACTATGAGTCTTAGGCCCCGTTTGGGAATAGGTTATTTTAGTTAGCATTTTAACTATTTTAGCCTGGCTAAAAAAGTTGTCTTTAGCAAAATAATTGGCTTTTTTTTTCTTTTTTTTTTTTTTCTTGTTTGTAATTGATTTGATGATTGTGAGAGAAAAAGTGAAATAATTATGATTCGGATGTAACATTCTGTCTTATTAACTATTTTAATCTATTTTATCTTTATTAACTATTTTAACCCAAATTCAACTTTCCAAATAGGGCCTTAATCTAGATTCTTAATTCATCAGAATCTTAATACACCATCGATTCATAAATTTTCCAAATATAAAAATACACATTAAATTCAAGGTTATGGGGCGTCGAATCAATCAGTAGATAAATCAGGTACAAGGATTTTTTTCATGGTTATCAAAATCTTAATTTAGATTGTAAGATCGTATGATTTTACAATTTTAGTTGGGTTAAATGATTTGAATCACAGTAAAATCTTGAATTTATTAAGGGTTGTTTTGGCAAGTGCAAAAAAAAAAAAGGAATTTTTTTTAAGGTCCCTGATATTAAGATTTTATAGCGTAAAGGACACTTAATATTTTCATAATGTCTAAGGTCCCTCAACGTCAATTCAGAGAAAATTTGATCCAGAGAATTTCTCTGGACACACCACAAAGAAAATTTCAAATTTCTCTGAGTTTTTGTGAGTTTCTCTAGACTGGAAGGGAATTTTCTCTGACTTTTTGTAAATTTCTCTGGGTTGGAAGGTAATTTCTCTGGACTGAGAGAATTTCTTTGGGGCAGTTTATCAAATCAATAGAACAGCAGATCCAACTCTACCTATTCTGTCATAGAGAAAATCTAGAATTTCTCTGGAAAATTTCTCTGACCTTCCCCTAACCTTCCTACTCTCCAGAGAAATTTTGGAAATTTCTCTAGCCTTCCCTCTCTCCAGAGAAATTCCCTTTTCTATTTACATAATAATCACAGATACAAACCAAAGAAATTTAGTCCACCCCGGAGAAATTTACTCAACCCAAAGAAAATTCTTTTTCTGTGAAACAAGAGAAAATTCAAATCCTTTACCAGAAAAAATTCAAAATCTTGTACCAGAGAAAATTCTAAATCCTTTATCAATCAATCCTTTATCAGTTGAATAGAAGAGGAAGAATAAGAAGTGTAATATATATACTAACAGTATACAACCAAAGTAAAATGCTCACCAGAGAAAATTCTCTTCTCTCCAAAGAAAATTAAAATTTCCCTGAACAAAATTGTTTGTTTCTATAGAATCCTTTCTATGTGAAACCAGAGAAAATTTAAATCCTTTGCCAGAGAAATTTGACTCATTTATCTTAACAATATTTTCCGCGAAGTGATTCAATCAAACCATAGTTTCCAGAGAGAGTCTTCATAGACTCGTCACTTTCAAAACCTCACATCACAGCTCTGCTCTAATAACAATGGCAATTTCAGATTCCAAGAAACCAAAACGCAATCAAGACCTAGAGCTTTTGAAATCCGACATCGTTTCCTTTGCCTCCTCAATCGGCCTCTCTTCTTCTCTCCCAAGCTCCTCCGGCGGCTTTGACGATTCCGATTTTCGCAAAACCGGCCATTTCAAACCCAACAAAAAATTGCAGTCAAACAAACCCTTAAAGCAACCCAACTCCAAAGGCGAAGCAAAACCAGAGCTCAACAATAAGAGAAACAACAATGAACGGCCTAAACCTAGGGTTTTTCAACCGGACGATAATTCGAGAGGGTTTGATAAGCTTAAGAACCTTTCGAAGCTTCCATTGATGAAACCGAGCTCGCTGGGCATATGGTACGTCAATGAGGCTGAATTGGAGGAGAAAGTGATATCGAAGAAGAAGGTTGAGTTTGGGGATTTGGAGGAGTAGAAGAGAGCAGGGGGAGAGACACACAGAGAGCGTGAGATATATATCAAATTTTTCTATGATAGATGAGAGGGACCTTAGACATCAAAAAGTAATATTGTGGATCTCTTCCATTACTAAAAATGGGAGAGGGACTTTAGACTAATTTCCCCCCCAAAAAAAATTGACTTTTTTACTTATCACAAAAGATATGCAAAAAGTAAAAAAATGATATGACCAAAACATATCAATAACCTGACTTTTTTGACAATTTCTAAAAGAAGCCTAAGATCTTGAAGTGATAATTATAGTTATAAAATCGCATTATAATTCCGATTCTATTAACACTATGATCCTACTTTTACCACAATCTGAATCCTACCAATTTTTTTCTTATTATTTATTTCTTATATCTATATGTGTATATTTATAAATTTGACTATAAACTTATTTCACACGTCTCTTCTAATTTATGTTAACTTTGAAAATAGGAAAATACTACAATACACACCCTTTGAGAGGTGTGTACCATATGCACTTTATAACTATAGAAGCAAATGACATAATTTCATAATTTTTGAGTCATAATTAAATAATAAAAAAAAAGCTCATAACCAAAATTTCAAAATAATGTCATAACTAAAAAAGAAAATTGGTCATAACTAAAAAGGAAAATTGCGTACCTAAGGGTGCATATGTTATGAGTTGTGTACAATAGAATTCTTCTTGAAAATATATTATAAGGCAAATTACACCGGCGGTCCCTATATTTTATCCCTTGTATCATTTTGATGCCTACACTTTCAATTGACTCAATTTTGACCCTTAATTTTAAATTTTATTTCAATTTGATCCAATTAATAATATCATTAGTGTTTTTTGAGGAAAATTATTACTAAATTGGTTGAGGTTAACTAATTGAGTTAAGTTTATAATTTTGCTCTAAAAAATATGACACATGACACTTATTTGTGTGTTTTCTATATAAAAAAAAATGCTAAGAATAATAATTAATGGAAACAAATTCATAAATTCATGATCAAAATCGAACCAATTGAAAGTACAAAAACTAAAATGACACAAGGAGTAAAATACAGAGATTACCATCATAATTTTCCCTATATTATATTAAATTTACCATTTTTCTTTAATGATTTCAAAATTATGTAACATACAATTTCGTCATCAATAATTTTTAATTTTAATTTGTATTAAAAGTAGAATCTTCCTTAGACACCACACTAAAAAAATTCACTGGTGTAAGGAGTAAATTGGGAAATAAAGTTTAGGGCCAAAAAATGAATTGGTAATACTTTAGGGGCACAAAGTTGATTTACCTAAAAAATTAAAAGTGTATTAACTTCTAGTTTTTTTTATCATTGTTTTGCAAATCTATATGGATTAGCCTTAATTCATAATAATAATTTTAAGAACATTGTAAAAAGCTTTATCAAATTCAGATTTTATAAGTAGGGTTTTTCAATAGAAAATCCCATATTGAATTCATGCAATAATAATTCTCATATATTTTCGCATAATCCCTGAAGTCCCATTAAACAGTTAGTTCAAGTCTCTATTTTATAAATTGTTGGTGTTAGTGTCGTTAGATTAATCTTCAGAACTGTTTAGATTGATCTTTGTCATACATATTGATTGATATTTTTTGTTATAAATTCATGGGAACTGTTAGGGTGTGTACATCATCAAAATATGCACATCATGTGCACCTTTCTTTTTGACCAATAGATATCAAGAAGTTTATTTGAACCATTAAATAATTTAATTAGAAAATTTGAGTACCTTCTCAATCGGTTATAATTTTCTTTACTGAAGACTCTCTCTCCAAAAACTCACAATCAATTGTGGTCATTGAATCTCTATTATTCTAATGGATGGTACAATCGATTAAATAACAATAATATAAACCCATACCAATCGATTGTATATTCAATTGTGATTGTTCAATCTACCTTTTATTTACAATGGCTACTAATCGATTGTATAATCAATTGTGGTCTTTCATCCCAACCGACTTTGCAATCAATTATGATTTTTCATTCACTCTTTCATGCCAATTGAATATACAATTACTTGTTCTATAACGACAACAGTTAGGACAGTGTCATGATATTTGTGTTATATGTTATACAATTGATTACACAATCAATTGTGTTTGAAATTTTAAATGTTGTGATATCTTGTGAATATTGTTATGATTTTGGAGAAAAAGTTATAATCAACGTGCTATGGTTATGATTTATTAGTAAAAGTTATGATTTGCTATGGTGAATCATAATAAAAAAAATGTTATGATAATTTGTTAGAAATAATTATATTTGTTATAAGTCATTGTTGTATTGTTATGATTGATAGTGTCTTTGTTATGATACCGTTGTATATATTATGACATTATTATAATTTATTGTAATTGTTATGATATTTGGAAAAATTTATGATTCTTTCATGTAACTTGTTGGATGACCAGTTTAACAAGTAACTTTTTTATGATACGACACAATATAGATCACACAATAGTTGCATATCATATGTTGTTTCAGAAGGTGCAAGTAATACTATTGTATACACCCTCAAAAGTGTAAACTATATGCAAGGTATGACATTTGTGGGGTTGATTACCACAAATGTCATAACTTATTATTTCTCAGTCATAACTATAAATAAATAAAAATATTATAAAAAAAAATTTTAAAATCATAACTAAACACATTTTGAGTCATAGCCAAAACAATGTCATAATCAATATGACAATGTGTATAACCAAGTCATAACAAACATCACACTAATGAGTTATAACTAAAACCACTAAAATTTATTTATATATTTCAAGATATTAAGAATCATTACAATAACAAAAAAAATTAAAAATATAGTCTTATTGCTTTATGATTTAACAAATCTAGATTAGAACAAAAGAAAAAAATATTAAACTTATAATACAAAATAAAATTTAAACAATTACGGAAAAGTATTAATTAAATAGTACTTTTATTGTATTTTTAAATGGGTCTAGCTTCTCTCCAGTTTGTGATCGAACTGGAGAGTATTGTTGAGCCCGTGAGAGCCTACCACAGATCCCGTTTGATAATTTGAATCGTTCAATGTGTAAATCCTATCGAGTACTATATGCTTGTAAAAAATCATACTGATCAGATATCGATAGCTATATTATCAAATTAGTTTTGTATAAAAAAAAAATGAACGGTGAAAAAATAAACAGTTGACAAAAATCTCATCCGATGAGATAGCTATCAATATCTGATCAACGTGATTTTTTGTAGACATATAGTACTCAACGAGTTCTACATATTGAACAGTTTAGATTATCGAAACGGGACCCGTGGTGCGTCCCCACGAGCCCAATAGCACCCTCTAATCTAATCGCGAACGGAAAAGAAGCCAAACCCTTTTTAAATATAGAACTAATAAGCATTCATAATTTACTCTGACTTTTCAATTTAGATTGTGAACTTAGATTAGTTGAATTAAATTCTTATTTTTCAGTTTCCTAAAATAGTTAGGGGTAGGTGAGAATTTTCGATATAACATAAACCTTACACGAAATTAACAAGTTAGACTAATATGATTTTTTTTTTCCATTTAACTTATGTATTTTTTGTTACATATTTTAGATTCATTCTATTAATATATATAATTATATGTTATAATTTTTTTCATTTAAGATATGAATTGTTTGTTGCATATTTTAGAGTCATTCTATTAAAAAAATATATAATAATTATAGGGAAATTTATTAGAAAATCATTTTTTAAGTGTTTGTATTCCAATTAGTCCACAAGATATTATTTTATTCTAATAAGTTCTATTATTTAGACATTTGATCTACCAAATGCTAATTCTCATATTTAAAATATTTTATGGACATTTTTACCCTTACAAATATTTTTTAAACAATTAGCAATTTGGTGATGTAAACATTCATATTTTACAATGTGAATATTCACATTGACGTGTGAAAGTTCACATTGACAATGTAAATATTCACATTGACATGTTAACATTCACATTGACGGTATGAACATTCATGTCATGAAATATTCACATTGTAAATGTAAATATTATTAGGGGTATTTTGGTAACTATGTCACTCATGGGACTTATTAGAACATAAGAAAATAACGTAGACTAAATGAAACATAAATAGGTGAAAAGGGATTTATGAAAAAATGTCCCATAATTATATGTTATATTTTTTTTTTAAATAAGGAAATATAATTGAGTTGAAATCAAATATTTTATGAATAATTTTATTTAGTAGAGATTAATTTCATAAAATTTAACTTGTAAAAAAAAAAAAAAAAATTCTCCATACACTTGGTACTTTTAACTAAGATCGAAAGTTTTAACATGAAACATTAAATAGACACAATCCATAAATGACATGATAAGATAAAAAAATAAATAGATTAAATTAGTATTGAAGTAATTATGACATAAATTTAAAATAAAACCACATGATACTTATTCCTAATTGTGAGCCCTAAAGTTTATCAAAATTTGGAGGCCGAGGCAACTATTGACCGGCCCTAAATCAAGCTAATTAAAATTATAAGAACTAAAATGACAAAAAGACTAAAATACAAAAACTACAAATATAATTTACCCTAAATCTTTTCTTATATAATTACATTGACTATATATATAGTGATTAACTAAAAAATTGCATAGATGCTAACTTAATTGTAGCCTACATAACCCAGTTTACACTTCATTTATTGGGAATTTCTAATATACACCCCCTTTAAAAGGGTGTATCATATACACCTTAGTTATGTCATTTTTGATTTTAACTAATTTTTTTCTTAAGATATGACATTATTTTAATTATGTCTCATGTTAGGTTTAGTTATGACATTTTTTTTTTTTTTAGTTATGACTCCTAAAATATGAAATTATATCATTTTTTTTTTTAGTTATAAGATGCATACGGTGCGCACCCTTTAAAGAGTGTGCTCCATATATAGTGTTTCCCCATATTATTTTATAAAGTTCAATATCTCAAGTTATTATTAGAACAAAATAAATTATAACCCAGTTTACATAAAATTTATAATGTTTAATTAAATCTCTATTTATTCATTTATGATCCGGACAAACTGAATGAACATTAAGTTAGTTTACCAAAGTTAAAAAGATATTTTGAGTGAATATTATAAAATTGAAACCACTCAGATATATCATTTTTAAATTGATTGGCAGAGAATTTGACTTAGTAATTATGTAGCACTTTACATGGTATAAAATTTCAAAATCAATTTTTATAGAGAGAAATTTAATATCTTTTATGATAATTGATTTATTTCTTCCTCCTTATTATGGAGTTGTTGAGCTTGGTGGGTTCACGAAAAAAGAATGATGAATTTTCTCAGCTTTTTGCTCCATGGGAATGGGCTCCACCTCAATAATTTATTACAATATATAAATATTAAAAAAATAATATAGAAATTTACTTTTTAAATTTATTTTTAAATTTAATAATTTGTTAATAAAATGATTAGTTGATGAATAGAGAATAATTAAGAGAAAGTTTATTTAGATATTTTAATAGAATGCCACGTTACTAAATCTACAAAATGAATGTAATTTTTTGACCTGAATAACAATACTCATAAATGTTTTAGAAATAAACATTTTTGCCGTCAAAAGTGAAAATATTATCACTTTTTGCCGTCAAAAGTGAAAATATTATCACTAAAAGTAATAAGATTCCAATTTCAACCAAATATTTTTATCCTCAAAAGCGAAAATATATTATTACAAAAAAAATATTGGGCTGCAAATTCAATCGGTAGGAAAAGGTGGTCCGAGAAAGTAAAAAAATGACGGCTAGTGATAAAATTTTAAAATATCACTAGTTAATGTATTTTTAGAAATAAAATAATTTGGTGTTGGGTTTATTTTTTGACAAAAAATTGTTCCAAAAAGGAAGCAACTTATTATTAAATGTCCAGTTTCATTGCTAAAAATACAACAATGAATTTTTTGGCAACTAAAATATTTTGTTTCTAAATTTTTTTTCTCTAAACTTTGTTATAGTGATCCAAACCATTCATTTGTTATAGTTGTGGTGCGAACCGCATTGTTCATTTGTTGTAGGAATCCGAACCATTTATTTTGTATGACCCTCTTAAAAGATTATTCATACCAAAAATTTAGTTATTTAGATCTCATTTGTCTAAAAAAAATTGATTAACTACATTTAAAAGTTATACTAGTTGTTAATTATTTTTTATACATATCTAATCCGATCCAGTGGGGGTTGTTTGAAATGACCTAAATAAGTGTATTTTTTATCTTTTTACGAAAAGATGTGTAAAACAGTAAAGAGATAATGTGATGAAAAAAATATAAAAAAATTAAAAAAATAGATTATTTAGGAGATGCCAAACCACCTCAAAGTTTTTTTGTTTTTTAAAATAGAATTTTGCATACAGAACAACATGGCCTTATATGATCCTCTCACTTCAATACAAAGCCCACCATTGTGGTTCAAGATTGTAAAAATACAATTATCGCATCATTTTGTATGAATTTTATGCATAGTAATTCTGTTGGTAAATTTTATTTATTTTTATTTGGTATGAATAAAGATATATAAATACAAATATGTATGTAAACACACAATTTATATTGAATATGGCATAAAAGTGACCCAGACGATCTTATTACCCAATTATGAAAAAATTTAGAACTCAAATAGAGATGTAATAGTAAATAAAATGAAAAGTGGTTCACAAATTAGCAATTAATTAAGCTCTTAAATAAGAAAAGCATACCTTGTCGTTGAAGAGGGGTTGAATGATGGGATCACAATTACTTTCTGAATCTGAAGCAGGACAGAGACGCTTCAGCGTTGGCATATTCGACAGTGTCAAGGAACTCAGTTGTGGCAGCTCAATTGCATTCATAGCTTTGCAGATACCAGTAAAACTTGGCAGGCTTTCAAGACGCAATTCCTTTAGTTTAGGAAACTCGATTTTATCTGTTGCTATTGCTGCTATTTCATGCTCTCCTCCTTCACTCGAAACAATTTCTTCCATCATCTCACAGAAAACTACGGAAAGGTCTTTCAGTTGCACTAGATCTCTAGCTATGGAAAGTGAGAACATACTTTCCAGTTTACGACAACAACTCACTGCTACAGACGTCAGGTTGCCGAGCCATACAAGTTGGGTGGGACCCTTCCACAAATTTGTCAGTCCATACAAGGATTCCATTCTCAACACTTTTAATGCACTGAAAGTCTTGTTCGGCTGTCGGCATTCGTGACCAGTAATGCCTTTGAAATTTTGTAGACCACGAAGATACAGAAACTCTAACACAGGGAAAGCACTCTGTGGAACCCCATCTGCTGTATTGATGAGGTATTCCAAATCATCCAAGCCACGTAGTAACAAATTCGTTAAGCATTCAAAACCATCTTCGCCAACCAAATCACAGAGAATTTTCAAACCTTTTACACTTGAGCTTAAAGTCAGAATTTTAGTGCTCTTCAACAGAAAATTAGACCTCGTTTCAATAATGTCACTTATGTTTTCGACTCCAAGCTCCAACTGATTTGATAACGAAGGATAACAAAGAGGGGTGTAATAGGGAGATTGAATGGCAACACGTATATTGAACTTTTTTAATTTCTCAATGGCCAAACCTCTCGGCCAGAAGGAAATGTTTATTAGAGCAATATCCAAAGCCACCAAATTGGACAAGGACGTCAGCTCATCGATAATTGCTTTAGCACCTTCTTTTCTTTTTTCATCTTGACACCAACTTTGAAAGATAGACCCAACATACAACTCTTCTAGCTTTGATAAGCTTGACAAAACCCCTGGGTAAATCCTTTCCACTACACATCCCAACAAATCAAGTACCTTCAAGTGACCAAGGTGACCTACTATTTCTTTTGGCAATTCCTTGATATAAGAGAAGCCAAACCTCAAAATTTCCAGATTCTCTAATACTCTGATAACAGAGATACCATCATCAATAAGTCGGCAACGAAAAAGTGACAAGGTTCGGAGGTTGGTCAAGCATCGAAGTGATGCCGTCAATGAGCCATACATATCGGATAAAGCTAGCACTTTAAGTTCTTTCATTCCTTGGTAAAAACTATCTTGGGTCTCTTGTACTTTGACTTCCTCCATTCCTACGTTGAGATAAAGGAATGAGAGTGGTGGTAATCCAGCATTGCAATCTAGCTTTAGAAGATGGAGATTTGGAAATTCTAAATTACCAGGAAGCCCATGCATACCATCAACTTTTAATGAAATTATAGCATTTTTTTCGAGTCGGTCTTTTTTAGGCCATTCTTTCAGTACTTCATCACATCTCACGACAATTGAATGCTCCTCCCTAGATGCAATTGATATAGCCACATCACGTACGACATCATGCATTTTGATACAATCTACTTTTTCACTTTCCATCAATAGATAACATTTTTTCAAGTCATCAACTACGGAATATACTCTATTTCTTACTTGGTGCACACTATCAATGCGCTCAAACAACTCTATCCCAATTGCATATCTAACGAGATCTTCAATTGGAATAACAAAATCTTCTGGATATAAAGAACATAGCAAAAAGCATTTCTTGGCTTCCTCACTTTCTAAGAAATTGTAACTCAACTCCAAAGATTTAATCACTTTGTCATACACTCCCTTGATGTTATGCACTATAGACTTCCGTAATTGTTCAAGAGCAGAATCCCATGAAGGCCTGCCTTTACCTTTGAGTGCCCTCCCAACTGTAACAATAGCAATGGGCAGACCTCCACATTCCTTCGCAACTGACATCTGTGTCGACTTGAAATCAATCGTATGACTTGTATCGTTGTAGGGAATTGCTTCCTTCTCCTTGAAAAGATTCCATGCTTCTTCTTCAGGTAAGACACGAACCATAAAATTCTTTTGTGTGTTCATGCCGTTGCATACATCTTCACTTCTTGAAGTCAACACAATTTTGTAACTTTTGCAATCATCTCCAAATGGAATTCCAATCTCATTCAGCTCTAGTATGTCCCAAACATCATCCAGTATTACAAGGACTCTCCCACTTTTCAATATTTTTGATCGTATCTCCCCCGCTCCAGTAGGTAAATTGTTTCCCTCAAAATTTTTTAAATCCAATATTTTGGCAATCTCACTTTGAATATTAATCAAGTTTGGGTTTTGGGACACTACTACCATCACAATAATATCAAACATTTTCTTTTCTTCTGCTTTCTTGGCAACTTCTTTCACCATAGTTGTCTTACCAACCCCTCCCATCCCACATATCCCAATCACATAGATACTATCATCTGTCAGTGCCTCCATAACTTCCTTCATAATTGACCTTCTAGATTCAAACCCCTTAAATCCTCCCATGGATATGAATGTTGTCCCCACATGAGATGCAACTGCAGGGATTGAAACCCCAGAGAAATTTCCTTCCCCACATAGCTCTTCCAAGCCTTGAGTTTTCTTTGTAGCTTTCCTACTCAATGAGTAGCGTGACTTCAGATTTGGACACCACCCATTCAGACACCCTTTGTTCGGTATGACTTCATCCTCAAAGAATTTGTTGGCATCATTACTGAGTTCATCCACCTGTGTCAACCACCGTGAAACGGTAGTTTTAATACTATCGCTTCTACTTTTTGCTGCATCAACTTCTCCTTGTATATCAGATCTTTTATCTTGAAGCTTTTGGACTTGCTTTCTGAGATTTTCGATGTTTCTGTAATAGAAAATCAAATAACCAAACTGGCGGCCAACTGGGGCAACCAGACATTCTCCAATCTTCATTACTATAGGAAGAACAACGTTCACGACCATTTCTCTCACGTTTTTCTTCTGAGGATAGTGAAAACTTAAAATGTAAAAGACTAGAACACAACGAAAAGGAATTTCTACAACAATCGAAATGGAAATGAGGAATCTGAGCTTTGCAAATCGAAATAGAACAAGAGAGTACTTCTATTTTGCAAAGGATATGAAGACAGGAAAGAAACACTTAGATGACAAAATCTAAAGGGAATACAATTTTTTTTTTTTTTTTTTTTGACAAGCAGGGTTGAATATAGAGAATTATATTGTAATATAATGGGACTAGAAGGGGAGCTTTTGTACTATGACAGAAATAGAAACCAAGAAAGGGAGCTTTGTAAAATGAAAACAGAACACACAACAGAATATTATTCTGATAATTGTTCAACAAGAGTTCTAATAGAGTTGAAGTGGAGGAGATAACAAAGCTCTCTAAAATCAAAAAGGAATACAGAGTTTCTTTCTCTTTTTTTTTCTGGTAAGTAACACTTGAACACAGAATAAAATTGAAGGAAGAAAGTAAAATTATAGAGTTTTTTTTTTTTTTTGGAGGGGGGTTGTGATAAGAAGCAATGACAAAAAGATAAGAGTAATAATATATGATTAATTGAAGGAGGAAATGAAGAAAGAAAAACCTTTGAGATATTGTTCCGTCTCTTAGAGATGAAAAATGCACTGCATAATCATTCGCCGGCAGTGAAGAGTAAAGCTTTTCAGGAAGACAACAACGAAATCAAATAGAAAGAGAGTATCGAAAGCCAAACAATGAACTCTTAACTGTTGATGCAGAGTAAATTGCACTCACCTCTTTTGAGGTTTTCCCTTTTGAGATAATACAGTTAATAAATTAATATAATTATATTAATTTATCTTTTAGTATAATTAAAACTATCAAAATTAATACCAATGATAGTTAAATACTGAAATAAATAACGGAAAATAAACATTTTAGTATGAAAGAGATTGTAACATTATTTTTTCATTTATATGACGAAAAAGCTATTGATGAAAGTTAATTTAAGTGTTACGTGAATTAAAATTTTGTACAAAATCAATATAATTATGTCAAAAACATAAGATTAACTATATTTTTCTTAAAAATTATGAGAGGTAAGTGTAATTTATTTTACATACATAGAACATAGAGCAAAGCATAAAGTGTATTTTGCATTAAAAAATAAGGGAAATATTCATGATTTATATAATGAGATGTGACTTTTTAAAGTATTATCTTAGAGTTAACTAAAAAGTTAATTTACAAGCTAAAAATTAAGCCTATAAAAAAATTAATACTAAAATAATTAGTTTGTTTTGACATATTATAGTTTGGGCTCAGCTATCGTATGTAGAAGACTTGAACACAACAAAAATGGATTTCTACTACAATCAACTTGGAAATGAGGAAATTGAACCTTGCAAATAAAAACAGAACAAAGAGAGTAATACATTTTGCAGAGGATATGAAGACAGGAAAGAAACACTTTAACACTTGACAAAATCAAAAGGGCATACAAAATTTTTTTTTTTTTTTGGACAAGCAGGGTTGAATATAGAGAATTATAATGCAATACAATGGGACTAGAAAGGGGAGCTTTTGTACTATAAGTTATAACAGATATAGAAACCAAGAAAGGGAGTTTTTATAAAATGAAAACAGAACACACAACAGAATATTATTCTAATAATTCTTCAACAAGAGTTCTAATAGAGTGGAAGTGGAGGAGATAACAAAGCTCTCTAAAATCAAAAAGGAATACAGAGTTTTTTTCTTTTTTATTTTCTTGTAAGCAACATACGCCGGCAGTGAAGAGTAAAGCTTTTCAGGAAGACAACAATGAAATCCAATAGAAGGAGAGTATCAAAAGCCAAACAATGAACTCTTAATTGTTGATGCACACTCATCTCTTTTGGGGTTTTCTCTTTTTCTTATATTTTTGACATAATTTTATTAATTTATCTTTTAGTATGGTTAAAACTATCAAAATTAATACCAATGATAGTTGGATACTTAAATAAATAATGGTAAGTAAACATTTTAGTATGAAAGAGATTATAACATCATTTTTTTCATTTATATTGATGAAAAATGACTTAAGTGTTATATGAATTAAAACTTTTATGAAAGGTCAATGTAATTAGATTAACTGTAATTTTCTTTAAATTACGTGAGAGGCAAGTGTAATTTACTTTACAAACATGAAATAAAACAGAAGGCGTAAAATATATTTTGCCTTAAAAATGGAGAAAAATGTTCATGACTTATGTAATGATGATGTCACTTTTTAAAGTTGTTTCTTAGAGTTAATTAAAAAGTTAATTTACTAGCTAAAAATTAAGCATATAAAAAACATTACTACTAAAATAATTAGTTTGTTTTGACATATTATAGTTTGGGCTTAGTTTCTAGATTGGATCATATTGTTTTGGTTTGTGGAGCCTATTATCGTTTGGATGATACGAACCGTTCATATTTTAAATCACAAAGTGTAAATTATCCATAAAAAAATCAGGTCAATCCAATAATCGTAGTCACATTAGTTCATTACATTTATTTTCTAAGAAATGAATGATCAAGTTTTTAAATACTATTTGCGCTTATTTTTGTCATGAACTAATATAGTTATATTGATCTAATTTTTTTTCATGAATAATTTATATATTGTGGTCTAAAAAGTAAATAGTTCAAATCATTTTATTTTATTTTATTTTATTTTATTTGGGGTTACATTTCTAATTGCCTTTATAATGGCTAAAGTGAGTTCTTAAGAAAAAAATTACCTATAAATCTCATATTGAGAAATGGCGATCCGTTTAATCCCATTAATTTTGGAAAAGTAGATTTAATATATTATTTGGAAATTTGGTTTACAGTTATACCTTTTTTTTCTTCTTTTTTCTTTTTTTTTCTTTTTTTCTTTTGTGCTAGAAAGGTAAGATACACAACCTATGAGAATCATATTTGAGATGAATTTTTATATATGAATCTTTTTTATTTGGATTGACTTGAAATATTAGATTCTTCAAACATTTCAAAAAGAGCACAAAATGACTTGAAATATGAGATTATTCAAACATTCCAAAAAGATATGAAATTCTTCAAATATTTCAAAAAGAGTATAAAAACTAAAAAAATATGAAATATGAGATTATTCAAACATTTCAAAAAGAAATAAAATTTGTGTTAAGTAATTAAAAACCTAAAAAAACATAACGAATTGTGATTGATCTGGAACATGGCCATGTAACACGCCAAGACCAATCGATAATTTTTCCTCCGTAACCGTGTTTCTTTCCACGCATGGGTCATTATTAAACTAAAATTTTACTATATATTACATTAATTTTCAACAAAATTTTATAAAATTTATTAATATGTATAAACTTTTCTTCTTGATTTGGCCAACTAACCATGTGAATGGTCCGCTAACCACGTTACTTTCAACGCATGGTCATTATTAAATTAAAATTTTATTATTATATATTACATTTATTATCATCAAAATTTTATAAAATTTATTAATTTATATAAAACTTTTCTACTTGATTTGGCCAACTAACCATTTGAATGGTCGGCATGACTGCGTTGCTTTCAATGCTTGAGTTATTATTAAACTAAGTCAGTCATCATTTAAGAATTCTAGAGGATCAAATGTCACGATTTTTTATGTAATGCTTGTAATTAACAATGTAGTAAAAGAATTAAGAGGTGAAACAATAGTGTGAGTCACCGAAAAATCAAAGATAACCAACTTAGGTTTTTTTTTTTTTTTTTGCAATTTTTTATATTTTAAAATCACTACATAAATAATGTCAATAATATATCCACAACTATTTAATAATTTTCAAGTAGCCTATATTTGTACAAATTAAAGTTCTTGAATAGTCCAATACTAAGCACAGGTGATTTGTATAATTTCTTTATATATGGTTTGTATGATTTGATATATGATTTCAACGTAGATTATTTTATTGGAGTGGGGTCCGACAAAGGGGTTTTACCAACTATGATAGTAGTGCTTGCTTTTGGACAAAAAAAAATGACAAAATTTTCATTGATTGCGTGTGGTTTGGAAATCATATTTAAAAAATTGTGACCAATCAGTTTGGAAATCATATTTAAAAAATGTGACCAATCAATTTATTTGTCAAAATTATAATCAAAAAAATCAATTTCCTAAATCATATTTTAAAAATGTGACCAGTCAATTTCTTTTTCAAAATTATAAAAAAAAAAAAAAAAATCAATTTCCTTTTTATCAATAAGATTGAAATGTTTCTACTTTATTTTTGTATAACGAACAAATTATCAATCAATTAAAATTATGTCCTTTATGCGCTTTTTGTTTTTTATTACAATATTGTTGGCTTATTTTTCCTACGAAAGAAAATATCATAAATGCGAGCGTGCCAACAAGGATTGAAAAATTCTTACAGATTAAATGCAAACCAATTATCAAGCAATTGCATTGACGTTTCTTTTGCCTCAACGAAGAGGACTTCAAAACTACCAAGTATAAAGAAAAGAAAAGAAAAATTAAAAGAAGAAAGACGGAGATGGAGAAAGACAATTGAGTGAACAGTCAAAGTAATAATTACTTATCTTTACTCCTATGTTTCGAAAAAGAAGTGCATAAAATGTTTTGAAAAGGAAATGTTGAAAATAAATGTTTCGAAATATAAATCTATATTAAACTGCTCCTAAGATAAGGAAAATGACAAGAAATATTGAAATCAATTGTCTTTGATTTGAATTCTGGATCCCATACAATGTAGCCATGAATGACTATTTATAGGCAAATATTTGTAGGAAAAAACTTCCAACAATAACTACCCAATAACCACCTAAAACTACTCATTCTTCCATCTTCATTCCCACAATGCCACATATCCTTCCATGTCTTCATAACTTCCTTTAACTTCCAATTCAAGCTCCATGTTCTCTTCTTTATTCTCCATCAGCTTTTCAAATTTCATAACTTCTCATAGCCTCCAAATGAGTAGGAGGGTGCCACATGTCCTGCAATTATATAAATAATAAATAATAATAATAATTACAGATTTATAGTGCCAACATTACCCCCCCTCGGCCCTTAAAAATGATGTTTACTTAAGTTTTTGAAGGGCCGAACCAAGCACATGACTAATTTAGGCAACAAAGTGCTCCAAATAATATCAACAAAGTGCTTCGAATGAACATGAAATTATGAGTAGAAGACCAATAACAAGTTTCGAAGGCGGTATAAAGGACTAAATTCATCGTTAGAAGGTTTTGCGGCACAGCTTTGAAGAAACAACATCATCCCTCGAAGGTTGGAAGCATTGATATAGGATGATGATACTTACAACGAAGTTTCAAGCTTAGGTTTGATTCTTCGAATGTATCTTCGAAGCTTTATACAGTTTCGAAGGTGAAGTAATCAACCTTCTAAACAACTCTTGATGCTTCGAATGTATCTTCAAAGCTTTATACAGCTTCGAAGGTGAAGTAATCTTCGAAACATCTCTTGATGCTTCGAATGTATCTTCGATGCTTTGATTGTGTACATACAAACAACTGGTTATCAATTTGAAAAGATAAGCCATTCTCAACCACTTATTTAAATGCATAGGCTTTTCCTAGCCAAGTTCATACATTTTAAATGGTCATCCCCTGTTCTTAGTGCTTCGAACTCATCAGAACAATTTGTTAATTTTATTAGCCACATCATCAAAATTGTATTTTGGTGTGATCCACAAATCCAAAGTAGGTTTTGAACACCAAGAACCATAGTAAAAGATGGCCTTAAAAATTCAAACAACTTGAC